AAAACAAATTAAACACCAGACTCTACTTATAGAATCCACATTTGCTGATACGAAATGCTCTTGATTATATTTCTAAAAATCCAGGATGCCTGGATAACCCATAAACAATAATTTTCCCTCCTCTAATTTTTTTTTCCTTTTCCCAAGACTGCTTCCTAAGAAAACTTGGAAAGGTTCAACTATGCAAAGACATTTTTTAAATGAGAGTATTAGAAATAGAGGACGGTGTCTGAACAAACTTCACTATAAATAATTTCTCCCTGATTCTGGGACATTCCCATTCTAGAAAAGAGTTGTCAGATATAGCTGCTTTAGAATACAGGTAGTCCTTGACTTACAACAGCTCATTTAGTGACTGAAGTTACAACGGCACTGAAAAAAGTGACTTGTGATCCTTTTTTCACCCTTACAATGGTCCCCATAGTCACATGATCAAAATTTAGACACTTAGCAACTGATTCATATTTATGACAGTTGCAGCACCCCAGGGACACATGACCTCCCGCTGTTGCGACCTTCTGACAGGCAAAGTCAGTGGGGAAGCCAGATTCACTCAACAACCGTGTTACTACTTTAACAACTGCAGCGATTTGCTTAACAACCGTGGCAAGAAAGGTCATAAAATGGGGCAAAGTTCACTTAATAACAGTCTCTCTTTGCAAAAGAGATTTTGGGCTCAATTGGGTCAATTGTATCGTGATTTTGAAAAAAATGTGACCAGATCCTAAAATGTTTTTCAAGAATATTCAAGTACAATCAACGAAAAGATACCATATTTTTCGGCGTATAAGACGCACCAAGTTTTTGAAGAGGCAAATTTAAAAAAAAAGGTTTTGCACTCTGCAGACCTCCAAAAATGGCACATTTTTCGCGAAAATGGGCCTGTTTTTTGTCAAAAAAAAGGGCATGCATAGCCTTTAGGAGGCTTGTAGAATGCTCCTTGGGGCTGGGGGGGCGGGGAAACGAGCAAAAAATGGCCCATTTTTCGCTCATTTTAGCCCTCCACAGACCCCAGGAGCTCTCTGGAAGCCTCCGAAAGGCTATGCATGGCCATTTTTGTAAAGGTGGCAGGATTTCAGGAGGCCAAAAATGCTGTATTCAGTGTATAAGATGCAGCCAGATTTGTGTCTTATACTCTGAAAAATACAGTAAACAAATGAGAGATTTGGGGCAAGTGCGAAGAGATTAAACTATTTTAAAAAAAATAGATCATGGTCCAAATTCAATGCAAGTAACGAAATCTAAAAGAATGTACATTCCCCCTTTTCACCGTCATCCAGGTTAGCCCTGGACAACAAATCCCATCATGGAAAAATCTCCTCTCGTTGGAAAAGGGAAACTCACCATTCCTGAATTGATGTTTAGTGGGTAAAAAGGATGGGCTGAAGTCAAAGGACTGAGTAGGCTCCTCTTCGAGAGCACAATCAAAATCTGATACTTAGGGAATGGAAGAAAGAAACCCATATTATAATAATGTGAGGTTTCCAAAAGATGCCCTCATTAATTTACATTTCCGTGCCTATTATGAACTTGACAAATAAGTCATGGGAAAGAAAGAATTGTTCTGGAACAGGGGTATCAAAATCAAGGCCCAGAGGCGAGATACGGCCCGTGGGATTCTTAGATGTGGCCTGCGGGGCTGCTCTGAAACAGCAGAGGACTGACCCACAGTGCCTCTGGCAGAGAAAACGGAGCTGGGGAGGGCCGCATGTGGACCTCCCAAGCTCTGTTTTTGAGGGTTGCAAGAGGTCATCACAGCCGAAAGCAGAGCTCGCAAGGGTCATGGGTGGCACTTCCAAGCTCCATTTTCACTGGCAGAGGGTTGCAGGAGGCTGTCGCAGCCAAAAACGGAGCTTGGGATCCCGTTTTCACTGGCAAAACACTTGGGCTATCACAGGCTCCTCCAACACGAGTGACATTGAGCTGTCCATGCTAACCCTTGCCACGCCCACTCCAGCCCCCCAAGGTCAAACACAACCCTGATGCGGCTCTCAATGAAATCGATTTTGACACCCCTGTTCTGGAGGATCAGGATAGGGGTCCTTCTAATCTAGAATTCTGTGTCATGCATCAGCCAACCAGGTGTATTCCAGAAATTCTAAATCACAGACAGGAAAGAAATAGCCCCCATCCGTTTTAAGAAAGCTAAAATAAAGAATGCAGGAGTCACCAAACCTTTTCTAACTGAACTTCCAATTCGAACTGTGATTCATCAACTGCTGTTCCAAAAGCTCCCCACACATTCCAGAAATGTCAATGATTGTGGGGTCCTTGGTGCTCCCTGAGCTTGGTTATTTGCTTACAGACGCTTCATTACCCAACTAGATAACGTCATCACTGCAATCATCACTAGCACTGATAAGGTCGCCTAGTTTAGGGAACAAAAGTCTGCAAGAGAACAAGCAAGCTCAGAGAGCATCAGGGACCTTCATATCAACCCTGAGCTACAAATATTCTCCTTTATTAGTGCCACATGTGGGCGTCAAACACTTCAGACAGCACACAAATATTGGGGGGGGGGGTATTGCCTGCAGGCACACTTCCACTAAAGAGCAACTTTTCTTCCTGCACGAATGCCTAGACTAGCACTGATGATGTTATCTAGTTTGGATGAAGAAACATTTGCAAGAAAACAAGCAAGCTCAAGATAGCACCACGGTCCCCTTATGTCAACCCTAAGCTACGAATATGTCAGTATATTAGTGTTCATGAATTGGAATAGACATGGTAACAGGTCAGCCAATGGGGACTGTTTGGTGACCCAGATGGCTCGGAGACTGGGTGCGGCTTAGGTTCACTGATCTGTATGTGTGTATATATATACATACATACCAGTGAGGAGTTCTGGGTCCCGGTGCAACCGGTACGGTGCAACGGGGCCAGGCGTCCACCACATGAACGTGTGCAGCGCACGCATGAGTACTTACTGCCTGCAACGCTCTGTGACGCTTTCGCGATGTTCCAGCTGCTCAGCGTGGGCGTGCGCAGAATCCCCGAACAGCTCAAATACAGGTAAGGAGCGTGGGCGGGCAGGTGGGCCCTCTGGAGCACCGTACAGGAACGGTACCTGGTGCTCCCAGCAGGCACCGGTACGCCCATACCGGGGCGTACCAGTCGTATCCCACCTCTGATACATACATACATGCACATACACACACACACACACACACACACACACGTGTGCGTGTGTGTGCTTCTGTGA